TGACCAATGCCGTTTCCGTGCTGTATCCCGGCCTGAAGCCCGACTGGAGCGGGTCCAGATAGACTGTTTCCTCCAGGTGCCGAGGGAATTGCTGCACAACCACACTCTCAACAACCTTCGCCACAAAGCGAAGGTTGGAGACCGGGCGATAGTTAGCCAATACATCTGGGTCCAGGGAAGGCTTCTTAAGGAGGGGCCTCACCACCGCCTCCTTTAAGGCCACGGGGAAGACACCCTCCCGTAAAGAAGCGTTTATAATTCCCTGGAGCCAGGCTCGTGTACCCTCCCGGGTTTCCCTTTCTTTGGGTTTCCTTGTATTTATTTGCATATTGCATATTGGAGAAAATATAGTTTGACAAAAAATTCAGAAAGAATAAAGGGGAGGGGGACTGTAGTGCAGTTGTCTGAAATGAACATTTGACCTCAAGACTTCTTTAAAAAACCCAAGCCGCCACCAACAGATTCTTGTGTGCAACCATCGGTTGCACATATAGTATTCCACATGTGAGAACAATGTTGGACACTCCTCAGCAAGAACAGATATAAAGGGAGGGTTGAATGGGGAAGAAGAGCATATTTATTAGGATGAAAAAACCCTGAACATGTAATTTCACTCACCATTTATCGTTTTGATATCCCATGAGCTGTCTTGAGGCTGAGTGACAATACTAAATTTAAAGGGTGGTCCATATGGAGAATCATCTGGATCTTTAGCTGTGATCACCACGTTTGGATTGTCCATACATACTCTCCTGATCTCCTCAGTCACAACGGGACAATTATCATTGACATCTTGAATAGTAAGCATAATAGTGCCAGTGGCTGTTGTGTAAGGGCTGTCTGCAATAAATAATACCCACGAAGGAAAACAAAATCAAATAAATGTCACAACAATTTATGTTGCACAAGTACAATTAACTCAATGCATAAATAGGATCCCAAGGATCATCTGGAAAAATTAATTTGAGCAGATAAGGAAATGATGGGAAGAAAAGGGACAGTTTTTAATAGCTGAATGGCATATATAATTTTAAATGCATCTTCCAAAAAGATTCTCAATTCAATTATAACATCTGTGGACAACACTAAAAGCATGTAAGAATAGTATCCAGAGTTTGTCAGATCTCTAAGTACATAATAAAGACTAGCAAAGACAAGATTAAAAAGTGTGGGAGGAAGTGGTGGTGCTCAGTACAAATTTTGTTTGCATCCCGGTGCAGCTGAACAGCAAATTGTTAGCAATGCAGTTTCATGACTGGCTGGGGAATTCTGCAAGTTGAAGTCCACACATCTTAAAGTTGCCAAGTTTGATCAACATTGCTATAGAGATTTAAAACAATCAGTAAAATGTTTGTTCATGATGTTTAGGGAAGCGTTTACTTTCTTTTATTTAAAAGTTACATAGAGCACTTTCCCACTTAATCAAAACAGCTAGGATGATAAATATTTAGAATAGTAATTCCATATTTCTAAGTGTGTATTGCTTATGAGCAATAATGAATATTAAAACAAAATCTATGATCTTACCTCTGGTAATTGCAAGCACCTCTGCTGTGTATACTCCTTTGACTACATAAATTGATTCTCGATCAATAGTTTTCTTAAAGGTGATCACAGCTGTTTGAGGATTGATTTGAAACCAGGCAGCAGGATCACGGCCTATCTCATACCTGTGATTTGAACAATGGAAATGCTTAGAATGAATTATGAATGGTAAAATAGTGGCAGATACTAAACTTTTGCAAATGCATACTGTCCAATTTGATTGACTCATTCATTTGTACATAAAAACAAAGAATTCTGACATTTGCAGTCCTAATAATTTCTGAGGCTGCTAGCCATTTTTTTTCTTGAAATAGCACAGGAATAAAATGTATTCCCTTTTTCCCTCTGTCAAAATACCAACTAATAATCACACTGAAGCATTTCATACTCGACTATTGTAAGCAATTTTCAGAAATACGGAATATTCTAATGTACACTATGTTTTTTGTCAAAAAGTCTCAAGAGGTTTGCAACCCTTGTCAAGGCTGGATTCACTGGCTGAATTTTGCCATGAGACATTGAGCCCCATACTAGTCAGTATGATTTAGCTTAGAATCTTGAATGCAATATAATACTTGAGGTTGATTTATGGTGAATATCCTGTTTTGGGGATTTGAGAAATAAAAGTTCTAAATATATACAATATATTTAAACCAAAACCATATGAAAGCGTAATTCATTGAGGGAAGACAAAATTGAAGTAGAGAAAAGTCTGCTTAAGGGGATGACTTTCGGTATTCTAAGCAATTAGTTATCCCTTCCAATTTGATTTAGCTGAATACATAAGTTTCAGGCCAAAAGCTATCTTACCGAATATTTGTGGCAACTTTTCCAGTATCCTGATCAATGGCTTGGAATGTCCCAACAGTGTAAGTGAGTATAGTTTCACTTGTTAAGCTCTCAGATGCAGTGATGGTCAGTGTAGATGGACGAAAAGCTGGTCCTTCAATTACATTAGTTATCCGTACCACAATTGGGGTTCCAATAGGTTGATAAAGAGAAGCCACTGAAGAGTGGAAAGGGGCGATATTTCGCACACCAATATTAATGTTTATGGTTGAAAATTGTTCATAATCAAATTCCTAAAATAAAGAAATGGCATACATCAACTTTTTATTTGAATTATGTTTGTGTGTATGTTTGTGTGTATGTATGTGTGTGTATATGTATATATGTATATATGTGTGTGTATATACAGTATATATATATGGAGAGAGAGAGAGAGAGAATATTGTCACCATTCAGGAGTATATTGTATGTGTTGTATGCACACATAACACCTGTCTCTTAATAGTATATCCAGATATATATAACATAGTCTTTAATCATGTAGAATGACAAATCTTCCAAGAATAGGAAGAAATCATTTCTGAAATAGAGCCAGCTATTCAAAAACTTCTAACTACAAATAAAGAGGAAGATTGGAGATTCTGATGAATATTAAAAAAAATGATGCTAATGAAATCAAATACCACCAAGAAACAAATTAACTCCATTAGGAATATGAAGCTAAATAAATATACATGCATTGTTGGTTTATTTATTTATTTCCTCAGTCTGAGCAGAATTGCCTTAAGCCGTTTTAAAATCAAATCAGCATGAGTATAGAACAATAGTAGCTTAAATGATAAGTATTATAAATGTGTATATTTACAGAATTTAATATGTAAATAAAGTCAGTAGAGATCTTGATCATTTTCAACACCTTCCTCTTCCATTGTGATACCTATGCCTTGTTGCCAACTTCCAAACAGCTGATTGTTGTGCTGGCTGCAGTGACCCAACTCTATAACTGCTGCTAGCCTTATCTTCAATAGTCTCCCCCCCAATTGACTGCATCTAGGGCAGACCTCCACTACCTCTGCCTCATCCTGCCCTTGGTAAGTTATACATACTTGTATCACATAAGTAAGATTTAACAACCAATTTAGCTGCTTTTGGTTCATAGCCAAGGCATACAATGACATAGTTCAGGAAAGACTGCAGAAGTAGGCTAGATAATTTCCATTTAATAACAAAAAATCTCTATAGAAACATTATTCTGGGCACTACTATCATAAACAAAATGCCAGGGAAGATGACTGATTATCACACACTCAAAATCAAAATGTAAGTTTAAAAAATAATAAAAGAAAATTTGAAATTCATACCTTTACAACACTCATGATACCTTCATTAGTCGTTCTGTCTATTGTGATCTCAAAGTTGTGGTTTTCATTTCCAGAGATAAAGAAAAATTCTGCAAACCAGTTATCTGTAAATTCTTGATCTGCATCAAATACCTGTATCCTCAGCAGCTCCTGACTCAATGAATTTTCTAGAATTGATACTGAAAACTAAAAGAGAAAGAACATCCCAGTTGGCAATGAAGACATGTATTAGATTCCCGTCAGTTTGAAAGAAATTTGGCATACTACTGTCACAGTGATTTCAAATGCAACAAATAGCATCTACTTCTGTTCTTTTATTATAAGTTTATGATATTAAAGGTAGTTGTACCTCATGCTTACTTATTGGGTAATATACAAAAATTGTGGATAAACATGGAGTGTTTTTAATCTGGAGAAGTGAAAACTTTTAAAATGTTTTTTAATCCTGAGAATAGCTTGACCCTATTCAAACATATACTTAAACATAGGAGCTTAATGCTGGGTCAGACTACAGAGTGTCACCTTGCCACTGCAAAAATTACGTATAATTTATTTTAGATGTTTGCTCATGCTGCCTAAATTGGATGGAATGAGCCTCCAAGATCATACAATTTCATACATGAAGGGCTACTCACTATAGAAGTCTATACTGTAGACTCAAAACAGAGTTAGCAGTATGACCTCATTCATGGCATGTGTATTCGAGAGAATAGAGTGAATAAGTGCAATGAACTCAAAGATCATCCTTAGTTTACTATAACAATCCTATCTGCTCACTTTTCTATTTCCATCATATCTGGTAGAGCATAGTAATTTCCTCTCTTCATTTTTCTCTTTGCTTTTATTGGGCAGTAGCTATATTATCACTCATGATGACAACATGTTGTTATGAACAAGCAACTTCAATGTCAGGAAGAGGAATCTAGTCTTCAATTGTATGTTTTGTGTTCTCTGAAGAATTTATTTTAGTGAAAAAGTTCATTCATTATATGGTGATGTGGAAATAGCACTGCTGGCCTAGGTATACTCATGACCATATTACTTGTCCTATGTATTTTTTTATTAGAACATCATTTTATACATGGTTACACAACAATGAAGATAGATTTTCACTGAGTATTAATTCACCAATGATATGTAGTCAATCCCATTTGTTTTAGAGATCAGATCATATTTTATATAATTTATGATTCTTTTAAAATTATTTTCATGCCATTAACACTGAGTTATGTTAGCCTCTTTTTTTAAAAAAAAAAAAACCCCCTATCTTTAATGCATGAAGAAATTCTAAAATTTTAAGCCACAGACTTTGGTCTAAGACAGGGGTGTCAAACTGCCGGCCCATGGGCTGGATGGGTCACGTGGAAGCCGCGCCCACCCCATTGCCGGCAATGGCAAAACCAGCCCGATACATTGCGCAATGTCACGTGACATCGCGGGTTTGACATGCCTGGTCTAAGAGGTTGTCGGCTTACCTGATTTGATTCCGAAACCTTAGCCAATACTGCATTATTAAATATTTTACCTTTAGGAAAATTTGAATCAAGTTCTTAAATTATTCTCTCTCCTTTGGAAAGAAAAGATTAACTATGTGGACCAAATATATATCCATTTCTTCCTGGACTTCCAAAGACATAAAAATCCATCCCTATATTGATCTTATTTCTAATTCTCAAAGGTTATTAGAGAATGTAGAAATAATTTCTATCTTGATGATTATTCAATCATAGTATGTCCTACTATTGCTTATGGAAGGAACTAAGATGACATAATGGCCCTGAAAGTGGTTAGGAAGTAATGAATAGAAAAGTGTTGCCAAGTGGTAGCTGGGAGAAAGATTGAAACATAATATTGCATAAGAAGGATGTGGAGGAACTGGCTTTTGGTTCCAATTAATCTAAAACTACTCCTTTTCTGGAATGAATCTGTTGATTTCCACTAATTGTGTCCTGCAATGAATGAGTGAGTGAGGAAGAATAATTGTAAAATCAAGAATTACCAGACTGAAACGAAAATAATGATGGATCATATTAGCTATCAGTAAGCTTACCGAGCTCTGTGAAAGAGTAGGAAAATTATCATTCACATCCTGAACTTTAACCTGACACAAACATTCTGATGATATTCCATCTGGCCCTCCATTTCTATCTGAGGCTTTGACAACAAGAGTATATTGACTTTGTTCCTAAAGAAAATATGGAGAAGAAGAAACAGAAGAGGGAATAATATGACAAATGCTTTAAAATCATTTAAATAATAAAGAACATTGGTCTGATCCAGAGCTTCTTAATTTTATGAAATATGGATGTTATATTTTGGAATATATATATTTCATATATACTGTACATATATATCTTTTTTGCTCTTTCACTGAAATAATTGTTTGGAATAAATGCAGTGCACTAATAAGATTTACTACTAAAATTAGCAAGCACTGGATTACTGCATTAGAAATAATCAGTGTCTCCCCCACTTTATTTGTTTATTCAGTTTATGTGGTTGCCCATCTCACATACATGACTCTGGGTAGCTCACATAATTAAATAAAAAAAATTAAAATAAACATTAAAACAAATTAAAACCATAAACCATAATCTGGGAGATACAATGCATACAATTACTAGTGGTATAATATAGGGTCCATGCCACCATCAGATTCCCTAGGCATAATGATAAAAATGTATTTTAAAAGCCTTCTGAAAGGCCAGCAGGACTGGGACTGATGTAATTTTAAGGGGAACAATGTTCCAAAGGAGGGATGCTGTGGCAGAAAAAGCCATCCTCCAGGGTGCTGTCAGATGATGTTCCTTAGTACACAGGACCCATACCTATACCATGTAGAGGTTTAAAGGTTAAAACCTTGAACTGAATCCAGAAACAAATTGGCAACCAATAGAGCTAGTGGAGCAAAGGAGTAACAAATACTGATTGAGGAGCACACATAGCTGTCCACACTGCTGCATTTTACATCAGCTGTAGCTTCTGAATTGTTTCCCATCCAAACACCTATTGACTCCAGACACCAGGTCAGGAAATCAACAGTATCACTTAGTTTGCCAGAGCTGAACATGGATACTAATGATACCCTCACCATATAAGCTATGGATGATTTTGCTCTGAGGCTTCGTGTACATTACACAGGAGTGGAAATAGTACCAAGTCTCATGGGAATCCACAGTGGGGGCCAAGGGCTGGACCTCTTTCAACCCTGACTAAAACTAGCTGGATCAGCACAATATAGTGCCACCCACTGGAATCTATCCAGAAAGATACCATGGTCAGTGGTCCTGAAGATCACTGAGAAGCTGAGAAGAGCAAATCTGTCTTTTTCTTAGTCATTTTCATGGCATACACGTTGCTTGCAGCTGTTACTGGGTTTCCAGAAATTTCACCTCACAACAGAAATGTTTATTTTGAATGAATACTTACTGTATTGATTTTATGAATGATTTTATTTTTAATATACTTTGAAAGTATTCATTTAAGTATGTTCGAAAGTATTCATTTATTTAACAAACTTATATAGCTGCCTAGCCATCAGAAGAAACTCTGGGTAGTGAATAGAACAAAAATACAGAACCCTAAAGAAAACAATAAATACTACTAAGGCCCTGATGAAACTCATATTCATCAATCCACCACCACCCCATGCCAGTTCCATCAATATCCTGGCCACAGAATATTCTGTTTTCCCAACAATAGTTCTCTGTAAAAGGCATTTCTGTTTTGTTTTTACCTCTCTATCAAGAGCTTTTGCAATGTGAAGTTCTCCATTCTCTGTGTTCAAGATAAACAGTAATGGGCCTGGAGGACTCTGGCTTTCAATCTTGTAGGCAATTTTGGAATTTAAATTATTTGGCTCATCAGCATCTGTAGCAGTTATTTTCATTACAAATGTATCTGGAAGGAAGGAAAAGACAAAAGGGGGCAAAAGATTCAGATACTAAGATATTAAAATCTTAGAGCGCCATCATTTGTGAAATCTCTAATTTAAGATGCTTATAAAGAGGAAAAAGGAGTGCATTTTTTTCATACTAGGAAGGCGCATTCATGGAAGTTCATGGATCAGTTTCTACTGATCTGCTACCAAGGATGTACCCCGTGAAAAAGAAAAGATTTTTTCAAACTATTTAAACATACAGCTTGAGTTAATTGTAATGTAATGCTTTGCTTTAATTCTGTTTTTAGGTTATACTTGTCTTTTACCTAGCAATTATTTCAATTATCTCGGAACAAATGTTGCATTTTTTGTTTGCCCAGTGTTTACCTATACAGCAATATTAAGTGATTGTGATCATAGGTGGGGGGTGGGTGGGTAGCTAAATAAATAAGATACCAATAAAGGAGAATATTTGTAGCTCAGGATTGAAATGAGGGGCCCTTGGTGCTCTCTGAGCTTGCTTGTTTTCTTGCAGACATTTAATTACCAAAACTATAATAAATGGTATAAATATTATTATACAAAACCTGTGAATTACACGCCAATGTCAGACATTGGGTGCAATATCTCGTTACATATGATTATTTTGACATAATCTCAATTTGCTGCTGACAGATGCCATAGCAGGTTAGGCCCTCTTAGGCCCTAAATGTTTTTGGTGGATAGATGGAGCACTGACTATACTAGTTGTATAGTCAGTGCTCCATCTGTCCACCAAAAACTTATAATAGTTCATTTAGTGATCATTTAAAGTTACAACATCACTGAAAAATGTGACCATTTTTCACCCTTATGACCATTGTAGTATCCTCATGGTCATGTGACCAAAATTTGGATGCTTGGCAATTGGTTTATATTTATGACAGTTGCAGTGTCTCCAGGCCTTTTGCGACGTTCTGACAAGTAAAGCCAATGGGGAAGCCAGATTCACTTAACAACTGGTTTATTAACAACAATTGCAATGATTCATTTAACAACTGTGGCAAGAAAAGTTGTAAAATGGAGCAAAACTCACTTAACAAATGTCTCGCTTAGCAACATAAATTTTGGGCTCAATTATGGTCGTACGTTGAGGACTACCTGTATATTCCACTGTGGATTAATCAAAGAATTGAGAAATATATCAAATGTGATCAAGAATAAGCCAGGGAACCATAAACACGCCACACTGACGTGTGTATTCATAACAGTGGAAAAATGTGACTTACTGTTACAAAATCAATTGTTATTTATTCACTGACCAAGATAGCATGTCTTGATATCATGCTTTATTATTTATTTATCTTCAAGATATATCCTTAGCAGAAAAAAGAAAGTTTCCATTTTCCAGTTTTCAAAGTGAAACATTTATGAATAGTGACACAAATGCCAGTGTGTTCAATATGGGAGAATTAAACCCCAATTAATTTCTCTATTGACAAAAATGGGACCCATGGCACAATCCGGTGCATCATCCTAAGTGCCATTAAATTAATAAAATAAATTTACTCCCAAGAAAGATACTGCTGCATTCATATACATGTTTTTCAGAAATTAGAAATTATACAGGTGTCAAATGATACATGTAACCATACATATTGGCTACTATTCTGGGTAGGGCGCATTTATTTAGAAAGTACTTACTCTCCATGCTGCTTTCTATTATTGACCCTGAGAACATGTGTTGTGTAAATATTGGTGGATTGTCATTTATATCCAGAACGCGAACACGAAGATCAAGAGGTGTTTCTACTGATTTTCCAGTCATAATATTTATAGCATGACAGTGAATCTGAATTAAGGTATTAAAAAAAAGGTAAACAGCTTTATTCAAAAGGACAATAAAGTAGTCAAAATCTTTCAATAGTGAGTTAAAGAAACTTCATCCCATATTGCAAGAATTCAGGTCATCTTTGACCTAATTACAAAATAATTTCTGACTATTCTCATAGCTAAGAGTGATAAATAACTCATATAAGAATAGAAGTAACTCATATAAGTAACTCATATAAGAAGATAGTAACTCATATAAGAATAGAAGCAAGAGAATATTTTTTAAAAAAAAATTATACCAATCATCCAAGAAAAGCACCCCAATTTTATATTAAAAACTATCAACATTCTAGAAAGATGTATAATTTTAATTCTAATTCTAAAACTGAAAGTGGAACCTCATTAAAAAGGCTAATTTTTAGAAGTTGTTAGCAGCTACTGTAAAGGTATATTTTTGGAGTCTTAACAAACATGCTTAAAATGTCAAGGGGGTCTCAGGAGATCACCTTCTATAAGAGAGGTGAATGACCATCGTTTAGTACTGTAATCATAAACCATAACAGGTAAAGATCTGTTTTGCCACTATTACTTACCACAAACATTGGAGTCTCCTCTCGATCTACTATTTTTGTTATATTAATTTCACCAGTCTTCTGGTTGATGACAAATACTCCCACAGGATGTTGATCAATACCTACTCCACTTATTTTATATATAATTGGCTGCGTGTTTTCACAGTCTGATCGTATCTGTTTTAGAAAACAAAACCAAAAATATTGCAGTCTTTTATCATTATTTTTACCTTAAATAATGTGATAAACTAGGTCTGGTATGGCTCAGTGGGAACCATACTTAAGACGTCTGATAACTGACACCATCTGAGAGGCCTGGATAGGTGCAATTCATTAGGAGGTGGCTTTAATTTAATTTAAATAACTTCTGATTTGTCTGGTTGACCCAGATCATCAAAAAATGAATGTTGTCTTTGATAGGGCAAAGTAACAAGTTTTCCCAAGAAAACTGTTTTTTACTCATCAGTTCTGTAGAGCTAAAGAAAGATAACAGAGGAAAGAAAGAAGCATAAGAATAAGGCCCTGCCTATGAAACTACAAGCTGGAAGCCCAGATCATTTCATTCGCTCCAGTGATCCCAAGGGGTTGGAAAGTTGCCCAGGAGGGGCAACGAAGAAGAAGGGAAACTTTGGGAGTTTCGACCAGAAGGCAGTCAGTCCAAACGAACTGAAGAACCTCTTCAAAAGGACGGAGGAAAGGCTGCCTGTAAGCACAGACAGTCCAAGTCATCATCAGCCAGAAAAAAAGTGAGGAACCGTGGTGCACCATAGAACAGCTGATTGTCAACAATGTGCTGAAACTGGGTGAGACTGTTTTTATTCCTCTTCCTTATGGACTTGGAAAGAGTGATCCCCTGATTGGAAAAAAATTGCGAAGTAAAGACCCCAGAAAGACTAGGGGAGAAGGGAGTTAAAAGCGGCGAGAAACTACAAGGGGGGGAAGGAATTTAAGAAATATAAAAGAATACCTAAAAATGGAACTCAGACTGACTTAAAGAAAAACTGTTTAACCCCCAGGAAGTGGAAAATCTTTTTAGATTCAATTTTCAGGGGAAATAACTTAAAGAGAACTTTAAAAAAAACTTTGTAAAAACTTTTTAAACTTGGATATAGACATTTCTCTCCCACTTTCTTTTCAGGGATGAACATGTGCTGCAGTCCTCTTTGATTAAGCCACAAAGTAGCTAGAGTAATTAGACCGAGTATATTGATTTTATCTGAAATTCTTGTGTGTGATTATTGGTCCATTTGTTTTTGTAACAAGTCCCTTTCCTCAACTCCTTTTTATAATTATGCATTTGTCTTCTAAATAGAAATGAAAACCTTCCTAATATGCAAAACTACATGGTTCTATATTTAGCCCTTATGCTTAGGATTGTTAACAAATTTTGTTCTATATCCCTGGCCTTTGGGTAGGAAAATCCAAAGCATCTTTTCCATTTTTTAGACTTGGCAGAAGCCCCAAGTATAAAGACTAAGAACTCCTCAGCTGGATAGACTGAGGTGGGATATATGTGTTAGAAAAGTTTAGTGGCAACTTATTGTAATTATTTCATATTGTGGAAGTCTTGGGAGAAAATGTTTGTTAAGGTAGCTTTAAATGGTTGTTTCTCACTGATTTAGAGATTTTTCAGATTTCAGTTTTTATGTGAAAACTTAGTAAATAAAAATCAGGGGAATGGTATGCTTTAGCATAACTTAATTAATATAATAATATATATTCCAGTGCTGAGTCTAGCTAGAATTACCAATTTGGTATTGACTGTAAGGAAAAAATATTGACGAGTAAAGAAAAGAAATTTTGTGCCCAGCAGGATCTATGGATGAATCTTTTTTTACATAATATTTTTATTTCTAAAAAAGTTACAGTAACTATAAACACTGCAATAAAATTCAGTGCATACACTGAAAGGAAAGGAAAACAAGAAAAACTATTTATAAAACCAGATATTAATAATTCCTTTATATTCCTCCCATATATTAATATATTCATCTGGCAAAAAACAAGTATGGCTCCCCTGCTTAACATAACATATAAAATCAGACCAAATATTTGAGAAACCTGTAACTTTAGTTTGACAGCATGCAAGTGAAAAATGTAGCTCAATTTTTAGCTAGGGCAATATGCAGACTCTTTTGATACACATATTCCTAGTACTCCAAAATGATGGTGTATTTCATCTCTTCCCTCATTTTTGTGGGGGGAAGCAAAGAAAGAGAAGACAGTACAGTAAAATTGGTAGGGAGAACAGCAAGTTTACCTATGGAAAATATTTGAACTCTACATAAAACTCCATTGATAAGACAGAATCATTGACAAGACATAATAAAAACCTGGTCTGGAAATTCCCTTAGCCAAGTTGTTGCTTTTGTTTGCTTACCTTTTTGCAACTGTTTGAATTTTACCTATATAAAATGCTTGGAACTTACTCTTGCAATTGGGTTTCTTTTTGAATTATCTTCTCCTTCCCTACAGGCAGCAGCAAATTTAATCCATTCTCGTTTCTGCCTCCGATGGGATTTCCATCTCTCCATTCCTTTTTCATTCCATTCTTTTACCTTGAATAAAGGACACACCAATATTATTAGACCAACTAAATGGCATCACAGGTATGTAATAGTACATTTAAAATCCGAAATAGAATAGATTAGCTGCACATTATCTGTTGCTTTTTGCTTAAGAAGGAGCTCTTCACTAGTTTTCTAACTTCACAGAATATTTCCAGATATCCAGATGTTTTAAGTGGAATGGTCTAATCCTAGGAAGCTGTAAACTGGGAAAGAAATACCACCAGAATGGGTTCTCTGTTAATATGAGAATTTGATTCAGAGGGCCATATTATCTCAAGACACAGAGCAGTGGGTCACTGGGAAGACTGATGACTCCAGGCCAGGATCCTGAAGGATGCAGAGGAAGAACATGTGTGAAAATAAGAATATATGCTGGGAATGCTCTTCCTATGGTTATCAAAGGGATAAGGAGGGCTGAGTCTTGCATACTGATCTACAATAAATAGTGTTTTTCTAGCAAATCTCAATTAGATTTGTATTGTACACATTACTAGCAAATGAACTGAAATGATTGTTACCTCAACATGAAAAGTACCGATGCTGAAATCCAGGGACACCTGGAAAAGAAACAAGGACAAAGTAAACACAATGGTCTCATTTACTCTGACTCTTTAGATAGTTGAAACAGAATCCTATTGCACAAGAAGTAGAAACTAGTTTCGTGTATATTACTTTCTTTGCAACACAACTCTGTTTTTTCTTTGAATTAGAAGTTCCTTCAGTTTAAATTAGCACATATCTCACTTTTAAGTTTACTTCAACTCATGTCTGACTATTGGCAATGTTGGTTGAGGCTGGTTCCATAACATTCAGAGCATCATGAGTATCCCACTCTTAGTTTTAACAAATCTGATTGAAACAAAACCCAAATTGATAAAACAAAGTTTGATTTTATTTTAAAATATAATATCAAGCCCTTTAAACATCCTAAAACTCAAATGTGACAGTACGTGAATAATTTGAGATAGAACACAAAGAAGTTATGCCTCTTATAAATAGATGGCTTCAATTACACGTATAATTAAAATGTCTGATAAAAATCCCTACTTTGTAGGATAAAGTCTAGCAATTTAAAGACAAAGAAGAAGAAAAAAGCAAGTGTACAAGTTCTATAAATTTTGGTATGAATGTTGCTCCTTCACCAAATGATTGTTGACACTAAGGTTTAGACATTTGCTTTAAAAATTGAAATCCATGATTCTTGGAATATTGAGCTATATGGTTTATACTACTCTATTTTCAACAAATACTGCAATCATGCCTTTGCAATAAATATTCAATTGTAATTTTGCTCCATATGTAAAGGAGAACATGGGCACTTTCTATGTCTTAAGGCTTCTGGAATGACAAGCCACTCCCAAGCTATGAGGATTTTCAAGATGATTCTTCCCATAGCACCAAAAATCTGGGTGTGTCTGTAGAAGCATAAGATATGTGTGAACTTCATTTTGGTTTAGGTGAAGACTGAAATTTTGATTCATGATGCACTATCCCAATATTTCTGGCTTCTGGCTTGTTTTATATATTTTAATGTTTGTATTACTTATTTGTTTTATTTTAAATTATAGAATATATATAGGTTGAACATATATGGACAGCTTGTAAAATGATATAGATATGTTTTAAAATGAAATAAAAGACAAAGCAGTTTGGGTATACATGTATGGGGACTTCTCTAGAGCTACACCTTCCCCATGGAATTTGCATTCAGATTATAAACACACACACACGATTATACGATACATAATATAATATAGGACAATTATATTACTCTACAACACAACATCAAGTTCATACAGTGAAGCTTATTAACAGTCTTGTCACAGAGCCTGATGCTAAGAGGGAATAGTTGGGAGTGGGGAACTATCTCTGTGCTAGGGAGCATTAGAACTTGTATCTCTCTATTCTTAATCTAGCACTTTAACTACTAAACAATACTGGTTCTCCAAGGGACTGACTTAAAAAAGAAAAAGAAAGAGGAATTGCACATGAGAATCAAGCAAAATTATTTTCTATCAGTTACATAATATTTATTTTAGCGTAATGACAGCATAGTTATTTGAGCATTGATGAGAACAGAGAGGCTACAGCATATGAGATGGTTTTAACCGTTTTAAATCTTAAATTTGTACATAATCCAAAGTGTGCTTGAATTGCAATGGCAAACAGAACTTACATTCATGCATCTGGTTGTGCTTATTTTGTGATTTTTTTTTAAAAAAAAATTGGAATACTTTGTCCAATTAAATTAATTTGGCAGCTGTGAAGTAATATTTAAATATTTAAATTTAAATAGCAGGAACAAAAAATGGCATATTACAATTTCTTTTGATGTTATGCTGTAGTTTCTCCTATAATAAATTTTAGATTGTATGTTTTCCAGGACAGGAACTTGTCTTGCATCTTGAACTTGTTATATCAAAAGCCATGTATTTGATAGCCCCAGAACAGTTTAAGTCTTTTGGGAATGTGATGACCATAAAACGAAACAGCCAAAAAAATCTCCCAAACTCTCTCAGTAATAATTTTGTCAATATATATATATATATTAAAATAGAAAAAAATAGTAAGTTTAAATACTTATAATTTTACTTGCTTTATGGAAACGTTTATTGACAATTGTCATGTAGAAAGAGTGGCTACATAATTTGGTTATACTGCGGGGGATTATAGAAATTTAATCCATCAGCAGATTTAATGTAATAGAATCAGTTCTTCCTTCTAGGGAGCAAACCCTGCCAGAGAAAATAACCATTTTAGCTAGAAATTAAAGAAAGAAGTCCATTCCTGGTGTCCTAGAGTTGACACTAAACCCAGTTCTAACCATAGGCACCATCAGTGGAAGAGAATATTTATAGTTCAAGATTGAACTGTGGGGTCCTTGGTGCTCTCTGAGCTTGGTTGGTTTCTTGTAGACATTTCATTACCAAACTAGATAACATCATCAGTGCTAAAAGGGAAAGTCCATGCTAAAAGTCCCTTTTAGCACTGATGTTGTTTGGTGATGAAATGTCTGCAGGAAAACAACTTGTTCAACGAGATAGGATTAATCTCTACTTGCTATTTAAATCTTTCAGGTCCTTTTGCAAAAATTATTTAATTATTAGTTATTAATAGTTTTTTTCAGCTAATAGCAAAGAAAAGATTATAAAGCCCCTCCCATACTATCCGAAGTGATGGAAAGGCCTGGCAGTTTGCAAGTGCTAAAGATAATAGTTTTCAAAAAAAGCAGCACTGAAGAAAGTTTTTCACACTCAGGGATGTTTTATGAGACAAGAAAGAAGAAAGGAAGAGCTGTTCTTGTTCAGAAGAGTGTAACTAACGCTAAAGAAGCATTTGTTTTTCAATGTGCTTATTATGGCTTTGCCTCACCTCCCCATGATAAAGTTATTCATTATAACTCCATAGCGCTTTTTTAGGTCCAATGATATGGGTGGTTCCTAGAACTGCAAACTTAGATAGGTGCATACTGAGTAGGGTTTTTTTCTTAACTTCTTTACAGATAGAAAGGGATTCTGCTGCTCAAGAGTTCCGAACCAGTTTGAAACCACTTTTGGCAATTGTTTTCCCATGAGATCAGCAGTATTGGAGAGCTGAGATTATTTATTTCTGGTTCAACAGCTGTGTAATTAAAATTACTGCTGAGCTAAGAATATTTTTTAATGCTCTGCCTTCCTTTGCCTAGTGGAAGGAACTATGGCCTTACTCCTTTCCCCACCTTTTAATGTTCAACTCCTGTAAAGAAACTCTTCCTTTGATGGTTTTTCCAACTCATGACAAGAGTTTTGTTGGTTTTCCCCTTACCTGCAGAATTTAGGAGCTAAAAAGTAAAATTTCAGGCTGTTTTCTGTTCTTTTCTTTCTTTTGGCCTTCTGCAGGAATGGTGGGATTTTTGTTGGTGTAGGAACTCAGGGTGAAGTAGTTATGGTCTCTCCTTGTTGTCAGTATATCAAGTGGGCAGCAGGAAAAGCAATTATGGGTGGTCTTTATATTGCTGCTGAAGGTTTGGGGAGATGAAATAGTGGATGCATGATATTGCCCCTGGATAGGACAAACAGCAAGTTCCAGTCTGCTTACTGCATTCAGTTGCAGACAGAAAAAGTCTATCCCTCAATTCCAAATAGCAATTTTAAATTCAATGAAAGTCAATTTGCTTTATAAATTATTTCAAATCAGAAGACAATTTGGGACAAATCCAAATAGGAAGTGTTGATGTATTTGTTTAGTTCCATGATAGTCAAGAGCAGGTGTGTGTCTATACTGTGTCTTTCTCTGGACAGTTCTTCCTCTGTCTACTCTGCAGTCTTTCTGAGGTCCCATATTTCAATTAAATCCAGAAGAAGATTTCACAAGAGAACTTCTTCCACTGGACTTTTAAAATTTATTTATTTATCCAATTTATTGGCTGCCCATCTCACCACAAGGTAAATAGAAGGCCTTATTCAATTTTTACAGGGAAATCTTGATTTTGAGAAATCACTGATGAATTTCTCCTTCAGAAGAAATTCAGAGAATATATGTTCAACCAATTTCTCTGCTAAACATTTGGGGGAGAAGAAAACAATCTGGGCAGCAATGGGATTCAGCCATTTCGCATCACTTCGGCAGAACTGGTAGCTAATTTTTTTTTGCCTAGGCCCAGAATGGACTTCCAGAAGTAGCATATTTGAATCCCATCACTGTACCTGGGCCTATCCCAGTTACATTATGCTGACTTCTCCTTTGATAAGTAAGGATATTGTTACTGACCATTTCATACCAGTTTGACCTCAATTGCTAAGGCTATAGTGGATTTCCCAAAGCCTGCTCCTCTGGGAATTCGTCAGAGCTTAATTCAGGGTGTGGTGGGTGGTGAATGTTTATGTAGGACTTGCTTACATACCTGCTAATGACAGGTATACGTCCTGACTTTCATTCTATATCAGCTGCAGGGAAAAAAAGAACCATCCTAGATACCATATTGCATGACTCATAATAAGATATGTCTGACTTTCCTCCCCTGCAATTGCTATGGGATCAAGATCTTGCTATACTTCATTAAGAGACATGGGCTTCAAATGCAGTGATGCCATATGGGGATATCTTTTGTGTTTGGTATACATCAAACCATATTCTCAATCTCTGCCATAATAAATAGTTTGTAGGTTATTCATTGATGGTTTAAGAGAATAGGAGAATTGGCTGAGGATCTGTTAGAATTGCAAATCCTCAGTTAATTCTCTTAATACTTGCTAAAAAAAATTCTATCATGTCCTTTCATATAAAAATAGAGTGACAAAACATTCTTTGGTAGTAGGTATTAATAACTACAGTATAATATTTATCATTGGGAATGGAGCATTCCTAGTAAGCCTGTTGTGAATAACTTTTGAATTGAAATATTTTAGGACACAGTAATTATATAATTTTTTGTACTGAGTAATTTTTTTACTAGAATATTTACTTACTATTATTATTATTTACTAGAATAAATAGCAACTGTGTTGATGAAGGCTCTTCAAGTAGGTTTAAATAAGGTTTGCACAAAAGAACTTAATGATGCCTTCTGCTCTTCATTAGAAGAGAAGCACTAAGTACAATAGATATGTTTTATGTTTATTATGTTAAGA